AACAGGTTATAAACTGTTAACGTTATATACTTGATTTTTGTAATGTTTTAAACTTAAAGAGTTGAAATATAGAAGTGCATGTTCTCTCATTATATACAATGTTGATGAGAACTAGAACCATTTATATAACTTAGGTAAATTGAAATGCTAGGATGGGGAAAATGTTCGTAAAAATTAAACTGTAAGCCTGTAAGCGGCGAAAATGGTCAGCTTTTGCAGAAGCACTTGTTTTCTGTGCTGCAGAATAGTCACACTGGTCACACTTGTAGGGTTTTTCTCCAGTATGGGTTCGCATATGTCGGGATAAGTGAGACTTGCAATCCGCCCTGTATCCACACTCCCCACACATGTAGGGTTTCTCACCAGCGTTATTCAAGTTGACTTGTGCTGCCGCCTGGTCTTTAGCATTGCTTGTTTTGCTGTTACAGTCGACCTGGGAAACCCCGGTGGGAGACCCATCATCTAAGTTCTCGCCAACTCCAGTGGGAGACCCTTGTCCTGTCGTCGCCATGTTCAGCCTAATTGGAAAATGAAGAAATTATCAAAATGAAGCATTAAAAGCTACCAATGATAAAATTAGGTTGGAAAGAGACTCTGCATTTTAGGTTTTGTTTTAGTCTTATCCATTCGCTGTTTTCACAAGTTAGATTTTTCTAGATTTGCCTTTCCCACGGACACAGGGTCGGTGACTTGGCAGGATTCGAACACCAGACCTCTTGGTTCTAAGCCGATTCACGCTACACAACCCCACATAATTTGCGTTTCTTTACAATCTAGTTCAAATTGCTGTTTTTCTACACCATTCCATGTCCTCAAAAATAGGCCACTTTGCCTGATGCAGCATGACGTACATGTACTAGTAGGTGGCGAGGGTCGAACGTATGTTTGGTTTCGCCCCCCCTCCCCCTTCAATTCCACGATATTCACATAACGAAAATGTCTACAAATTATCGTCCTAGTACGATGCTTCTTCCGCAGAAATGGTCACAAGTTATTCCCCTCGACATCAGAATACTTTTCTGCCCGTTTCTAAGCCTTACCTGCTTCCTATGACGGGTTTATCTTCACGTAAACCGGAACTCGGGCAGCTTTGTACTTCTGTCGTTTCATGAGGTCAGAGGTGAACTCGATCTGGGTCAAGGGTGAAATTGTCGACCTGATTACCCACATTGTACATTTGACGTCGGTTTGAACGTTAAGCTGCCTTCATAAAGTCAACGTTCTGCGTTAGAACCGACTACCTAAACAACGTAACAGGCGTCTGACATTTTAATATCCAGCCAAACTGTTAGGTTTATATCTTAATTTCTGTGTTTTATGATCAAATCACCCACCCAAGAAAAAGGCAACACAGAAGGAGACATTATGTTCAAGGGACAGAACCATTTAATTATTTGGGTGGAGATATCTGTAGATACATATTTAAAAAAAAAACAGGAACTTTTATACAACATAACGCTTACTGTAAAATTACTTCTTTCTATTTTTATATAAACTAAATTACGTTAGTCATTTATCTGATGCAAAAGTCGGCTTTTTGGTATTTTTAATCAAACTCTCAAAAAAACATTGATATTAGTCAGAAGATATTTGTTTGCATGACATATAGGTGCACCCTTCTATGGCCAAAATTTGGTAAAATTTTAACTCTTTCAACCTTGTTTTCTATACACCTTATATTAACATTGACAGCTTATAAATCTGTATGATTTCTTCTTCTTTTTTCATTTGGCCATAGAATGTACATTTGTACACACTTCGTCAAAGTAAACTACTAGGAAATCAAACATAGCACTTTCGTGAAAACGCAACGCTAACAGAACAACCTACCTTTCAACTAATGTGTACAATTATTTACATATAATAATAATAGGGGAGTAATCACTACTCTATGTATATCTGCATTATACAATTAATGCATCAAGTTAATTGTTATTTCAGTACAATCCTAGATACATGTAGTTATCAAAAAGTTTTTTTTTGTCATAATTTTTGATACTAGAATATTTGTATATGGGCTAAGTACATGTAATACTAAACTAAAAATTATTCTTATGACAACCATTGTTTTATAGTAATTAATAATACAGCGCATGCTCTGGATATAGCTTTGCCTATTTGGAAGTACTGTACATGTATTATAATTTTCATAAGAATATTTAGCCTAACTGTTTTTGAAATAGCAAGGAGGTTTGCATTTTAAACCTCGTTGGAAATAGTAATACAGTAGTATAGAGAAACTATACAGGATTGTGCAAACTAAATGTCACTACCAGATGGACACAGTTGCAGAGTTGGTGCCTCCATGTGAATTTTTTTATGTTGAGTTAGGGCAGACTTAGAGGCTGCAGAATAGCTACACTGGTCACACTTGT